GGCGGGCCGGGCCACGTGCGCCGGGGCGGCCCCGGGACCTCCGGCAGCCCGCAGCCGCGGAGTCGGGCAGCCTCTCCGCTTCCTCTTGTGTGACATGCGGCGCTGACTCTCAGGGAAGCCCTGATTTCCTCATCGCAGTTTTCCCAGCGCCTGGAACAGCTTTTGGCACGTAATAGGCATTCGATAAATATTTATTCATTGAAAAAAAAATGCTGGGCACAGCGTCCGTCTGTCTAGTCTGAAGTCAGGCGTCAATCTGAGACGTACTTCTCCAAGTCCCAAGCTCCTACTGGAGCCCTGGCTTCAGGGCTCTCAGGTTGACGCAGGTCGAATTTACATCCGCACCTGCACTCTCACTGCTCCGCCCCGCGGGCGTCTCTGATCCCAGCCACAACTGGGAACGGTTGGCTGGGTTATTTTACCATCCACCACCCCCTCTGCTTCTATGAACTCGCTTTTTTGGTTTTTTTTTTAACTTTTTTTTTTTTTTCACCTCTGAGCCTTTATTGACGCCAGTTCCTGAACCTGGCCTGGCTTCTCAGTCCATCTCTTTAAACTGTATCCATCTTTTGACCTTCCCCACCGGGATGTAAATGAAACACAGTAAGCTGAGCCTTTGGCGTTAGTGACAGGAAAGACCAAGTGGGTAGAGGGTTGGAACTTTCAGCCCTATCCTCGGACCTTCAGGAAAACTGGTGGTGGCTGGAGCTTTTGAGCTCTAGAAGCGCTGTTGAAGAAGACCATTGCTGAAAGCAGGGCATGGTGATGCACACCTGTAACCCCAGTACTCGGGAGGCTGAGGGCAGGAGAATCTCTGCGAGTGCGAGGCCAGACTGGGCTACCCTGTCTCAGAAAAAAATGGGGAGGTCAAAAATAACAAAACAAAGCATTTCCCCAGGTCCTGTGAGTTGTCTAAGCAAATTACCAAACCTGAAGTAGGAGACATAGGAGAGGCCCAGTTTATAGCGGGGTCAGAAGCAGGGGTCTGAAGGGTGGGGCAGTCTTACATTAGCTCTAAGATCCATAGTTGTGGTTTTGTTTCAAAGGCAAAATTAACCCCAACCCCAAAACAGCCAACAGCTAGGCATCTCTCTGGACTCTTTCTTCATCATTCCGGGAGGCCCTGGGACCTGGGCTGTCACCTCACACACACAGCTGGAGGGGTCAGGGGTGGGCCACAGCTCCTGCAGGGTCCCAGGATGGGGAAGGCGGCATCGGTGTCTCAGGGTCCTCAGTCTGCGCCAGTGTCCTCAGTCAGGCTCTGCCTGCCTTCAGATGTGAATCGGGCCAGGAAACAGGTCAGAATTTTGGGTTTTTGGTTGTTTGGTTGTTTTGGGGTTTTTTGTTTTTTTGTTTTTTTTTTTTCAGACAGGGTCTCACTATGCAGTTCTGGCTAGCTAGCCTGGAACTCACTGTGTAGCCCAGGCTGGCCTTGAACTCATGGTGATTCTCCTGCCTCACCCTCTTGAGTGCTAGGATTACAGGCGTACCCGACCATGCCCTCCTAGATTTTCAGGTTCAGGCTGGAATTTACACCACTGGCTTTCCTGTCTCCAGTTTACAGATGGCAGATCATGGGACTTCGCCTCCGTAATTATCTGAGCCAATTCTTCATAATAACGCTTTATATCTTGCTACTGGTTCCTGCTTCTCTGGAGAACCCTAACACAGACCAAACAGCAGAGTTTCTGTACTAAAGGCAAAGCAGAGGGTGGAACTCACAGAACAGGTTAGGAAATACTGTTTCAAGGGCAGGGCAGGCTTAACCTGACCCAGTATCCTTTGGCTGTGGTCTCTTTAAAGAGAAAATCCTATGAAGAAGTGGTTTGGCCAAGGAATTTTGCATTAATTCTTACTGCTGTGCATCTCTTTCTCTCAATAAACCATAAGCTCCTAGTTGAAAAACACTTTCTCATCCTCTCCACAGCCTCAGCACATACATTTACTTAACAGTTTCTTCTCTGTGGCAGTGCGAATTAAACCCAGGGACTCCCACATGCTGCTCAGCACAGTACCTCTGACTGCATACCCAGCCCTGGAGTCTTGCTAAATTGCTCAGGGCGCCTTAAAATTTCAATCCTCCTACCTCAGCCTTGCAAGTAGCTAGGATTATAGGTGTGCACCATGATGCTCAGCACAAAATATTTAATTAAATGCTCGCTATGTAAAGGGATTATGTGGGCCAGGGATATAACTCAGCGGCACAGTGCCTGCCTGGCAAGCACAAGATCATGAGTTCAATCCCTAGTACCAAAAACAAAAAGTAAAGGGGTTGTGCTACCATAGGTAGGTGCTAGGGATACAAAAATCAATAAGAAGCCAGGCATGGGTCCATGCCTGTAATCCCAGGGAGGCTGAGGCAGGAGGATCATTGCATGTTCAAGATCAACCTGGGCTACAAAGTGAGCTCAAGGCCAGCCTGAACCGCATAGCAAGACCCTGTCTCAAAAAGACAAAAAAAAAAAAAACCAAAACAAACAAACAAACAAAAAAAACACCAACAAAACAAAATGTCAATAAGAGAGATGGGTATGGTGGCAAATACATACAGTCCCAGCTACTCAGGAGGCTGAGGCAGGAGGATCACTTGAACTGGAGTTCAAAGCCAGCCTGGGCAACATGGCAAAACCCTATCTCAGAAAGAAAAGAAATAAAGGAACAAGACAAATTTATAAGCTTGCAAAGACTTTACCATTTGGTAGGGGGAGACAAACAGCATCCCCCTCAGTAGTTAAGATGCAGGACAGGATATAACGCCGGAAAGCAGGTGAAAAAGTACTCCAGCATTCAGAGGCAGAAGTGTTTGAGCAGGGAAATCATAAGAGGCTTGCTGGAAGAGGCAGCGTCTGAGGTGGGGCTAGGAAAAGTTTTCAGTCATGGAAGATCAGATGCGGAGAAAGCAGAGAATGTAGTGTGAATCACTGCACTGGGTCGGCAGGGGATCTTCAGCCTTAAATGCCTGGCTGAGAGATTTCACAATGGCTTTTGTTTGCTTGCTTCTTGGTGCTCAGAGGAAGTCAGTAGAGTTTCTGGAGAATGAGAGAGAAAGGACAGAAGCAAGACATCTGAGGAGCCAAGGCAAGGGGGGCGCTTTGGCTTGTGGTGACACACGTAGGCCGTGGCAGAGCGCACAGCTCCCGCAGCATCCGCACAACACACTCTCCCCGACACACACAACCCTCCAGGCCCGCAGCCCCTCTGGACACTCACTGGCAGCCTGGCTTTTCCCCCCTGTGCCGTGGTTGCAAAGCTGACGGCTTTCCTGAGTTGCAGGGCCCAGGCTGCAGGCGACCTCATCTGTCTCCGATCCCTGTCCTGGATAGACCAGGATGCGCTGCGTGCGTGCGACAGTAGAGGTTTCCCGGCAAGACAGCAGCACTTGTCCCTGAGAAAGTGCTTTATGTCACCCGTCCCCTCCCCCAGCTGATCCAGCCCTCAAATGAGGACAGGCGACTGGAAGACTCCAAGTCTCCTGGTGACATCCCCTGGTATCCTGCTGCCTCCCCCCCGCCTCTGCTGCTCCAGGCCCGGCTCCACCTCGGCGACAGACGAGATGCTGCCTCTGTTTCCCTTTGGGACTTGGATTTCTCTTTTCTTTTTGTGTCGGGGGGCGGGGAGCAGGGTCCTGCTTTGTAGCCCAGGCTGGCCTCCAACTCTTGGGGGTCCTCCTGCCTCCACCTCCCTGAGTTCTGGGATTGCAAGCGTGCGCCACCATGCCTGGCTGGATTTGCATTTTTGTCCTTCCCTCCAGGATTCATTCCTCACCTGAGTGCCTGAGAGTATCCGTCTCCGAAGCTTGGGACGCCCTCTCAGCTACTTCCTACAGGGAAGCAGTAGGAGCGGTGTCCTTTGCGCTCCATCCCTCCCTGGGGCCAGCTGAAGCCTCGGGCTTTCCTTCTGCCCACAGGTTTCTCGGGCAAAGGCCAGAACCACAGTGTAAGCAGCCTCCAACTGAGCACCCCAAATCCGTGCTGCCAAGGGATTCCCAAGGCCCCTCCAGTCCCCGGTGTGGGCAGGCAGCCATCGCAGTGTCCCTTATCTAATCAGCGGGCGAGGACCGCGGCGAAGCTGCGTAGGGCAGTCTTTCCGACACACAGAGTGGTAAGAAGCGATAGGAACGGTTCGACGAAGATGAGGGTGCAGCCTGCTGGAGGGGCGCTGACCTGGGGATCAGGACGCGCGGCTTCTTGCCCGAGCTTTGTCATCGGTCGCTGGGTGACACTCTGGCGGTCACCTTCCCTCTCTAGCCTCACTGGCCTCTGCTCCCAGCCCTAACATCCGAGGAGGCGCCGAGCTCCCCTGCACTTTCACGCGCGCTCGGGACTCCGAGGCAAAGCTGTCCCCCATTCTGAGGTGTGATTAAGGGAAACGACCCTGAGGGAGGACAGAAAAAATAAAAAAGTAGGTAAAAAAGAGACAAGGACATCGAGATTTTAAAATTGTCCTTTTAAGACAAACCACAGCGAGACAAGCTGTTTTGTATCTTCTGAAGACCACCCTGGTTTGTGAGCCCCTCCTTCTGTCCTCATGGAGATTAATGTTAAATTCCTAAAGGTCCTTTTTACAATAGCCTGGAAACCCCCAGGCCCCTCATCCCCTTTCACCTGCAAATTGACCTTTCCTCCAGCCCAGCAGGCAGCGGCCTCGACGACAGCATATCTTGACTTTAAACGCTTGTGGAGAGCTTGCACTGTAACCGGCAGACGGTGAAACCGCGCATCCTGGATCACCCATCTTGGAGACGCCGCTTTAAAATGTGCCCTAGTCCAGCTTGTAACGCGTTCTTGTCGCCTCCGGGGGATGAGCGGCGCCCCCTGCTGCAGGGCCGGGAAGGAGCACCGTTCCCCACTATGGGGGGCCGCTCTCAGGATTTGTAAACTTCATGTCAAAAAAAAAGTAGGGGGCCTGGGGGTTTAGCTCAGGGGCACAGCGCCTGCCTGGCAAGAGCAAGGTCATGAGTTCGATTCCCGGTACCGGCAAAAAAAAAAAAAGTAAATAAATACAAATTTTAAAAGATGAGCTATAAAGTTTAAGGAAAGGAAGATGATTTATTGGACACTTTATTGGAAAAGGGGAAAAAGGAGGAGCTGGACAGCTACATTAATAAGGAGTAAGGCCTCTGGAAAGATGGAAGACCCCCGGGCCCTTTGTCCTCAGCCGTTTTTATTATTGTGGCAGAAGCACTGTTCCTGCTGGAATGAGTTCCAATTTGACTGGCTATAAAGGGCCCCGCCCCAGGTGCTGTCACCTAAGAGCAAAGGTTGAGTTAACAATTAAGTGAAGGGGAAACGAGATGAGAGTATAGAGGGAGAGGGGGAGGGGGAGGGGGAGGGAGAGAGGGAGAGAGCTGTCTTTCAAGGGGCTGCCCCGTCCTCTCTGTAAGGTGGGGAGGGGCAGTAGGCTAACTGGGTTTGGGCCCTGCTGGGCTTATCAGCTTTCTTTTGTCTTGTTCACTGCTCCCTCAGGAAAGTTTTAACTCTTTCTGGATTGGATGAGTCAGGAAGGCTAATGAGGCCTTTTCCCCTTTACAGACCCACTCTCTCATTTTTAGAGCACCACACTCAAGAACAGAGCGTGTTCAAATAAACCTTTTCTGTGTGTTTTTTTTTTTCAGTGGCATATCCAGAAAATTTTTTTGCGACACCTGCAAACTTATTTTATTTATTTATTTGGGGGGAGTACGGGGAATTCAACTCAGGACATTGTGCTTGCCAGGTGGGCGCTTATGCCACTGAGCTAAATCCTCAGCCCCTGCAAACTGATTTTAAAGGGTAGGGTAGGTTCCTTATTTCAGCCTCAGGGACCTCACAGATCCACCCCTGTGAGATCCTCATCCACAGTAACAGGAATTTATGGCTACTATCCTCTTATCCCCCACATTAATTCCAAAGCAGGGGCCAAAAGTCTGACACCTCGGGGTGGGAGTTCACATTTTTTTTTTCACATTTGTTAATAGAAATGATCTCACAGGGATTTGAGGACGGGTTTTAAAATTTATAACGTAGGTTGGGCGTGGTGGCACTCGCCTGCAATCACAGCACTTGGGAAACTGAGGCAAGAGGATCATCAGGCGTTTGAGAGCGGCATGAGCTACATAATGAGACCCTGTCTCAAAAAAAAAATGTTTATAACCCATTATTTGTACAGAATAGGTTTCAATACATTTCCATACATGCATATAACGTAAAACAGACTCTAACAACAGAGCCTCTCACTGTCTGGATCCTGAGTAGAGTGTCCTAAACCTTTCCTACCACATGCAGAACCGCATCACAAGCCCTAATGTAAAAAAGGGTGATTTCCTGAGCAAGTCTAACAGGACCACAGCCCATTACAAGTATGACTACAGTCCTAGCGGTCTATTTGTCATTTCCTGGGGCTGGAAAGGAAGGGGCGAGGCCTGAGCGGTCTGGCTGCCCTCGCCCCCGGCTTCTGTGTTTGCACAGCCACCTCTAGCTGGGTCTCACAGAGCTCGCTATGCTGTCCCTTGAGCCTGCTCAGAGGCCTGCCCTGAAAATGCACTCCTCCGCTTAATTCTCTAGGGGCCTGAGGGCTCCTGACGCCGCTGGAAAACGGGGGATTCTGCTAAGAATGGCTAGGAAAGGGTCCTTGTTCTCCGGGGTGGACCCCAGGCTGTGCGGGGCGGGGGGGGGGGGAGCGCGCCTCCTGTGGCCACGTAAAGCCCACGAGGTGCTTCCTTTGCGCATGGCCGGTGCTGGCTTTCTCATCCATTCCCACCCCAACCAGGACAGGAGAGCAGGGCTGCCACGTCCGTGAAGCTCTCCTCGTTCCCAGGGTGAGGACGGTGAGAGGATGGAGAAAAAAGGACCAGAGTCAGAATACAAAAAACTGAGGCCACATGGCGCCCTCTCTACTGATGTGAGAAGGAAGGAAGGAGAGGAGGAGGAGGAGGAAGAGGAGGAGGAGGAGGAGGAAGGGCCTCAAGGCTGCAGTGCTTGTTATACACGGGAGGTAGAAGGTCACGTAAACCCCTGCCTGGGGCGCCCGGTGTTCTCCAGAGCAGAGCCCTTTGTTCCTGTGGCTCCCCTCTGGCGCTCTGCGTTCTTGAGGCTGCCCTTGCTCGGTCCCCTAACCTGTGCTCCGTCTCCAGCTTCAGCCGCTCCCCACACAGGGCAGGCATTTGAGCGTTTTATGGCTGAGACCATCAACGCACAGAACAGTTCGCCGCTCCAGACCACGCAGCAGGGAAGCAGCCTGCTGGATTTCAAACTTCCCCGGCACCTCTCCGCTTGCCCTTTGCTCCCTGGACATCAAAGGGCAAATGTGGTCCGTCCTCCCCTGCCTGGCCTGTCACCCACAGCAGCAGGGCGGCAGCAGGGCCGTCCCTGTGGCTCGTGCGGGTCACAGCTGTGCTGCAGATCTCCGTCAGCTCAGCCTGGCTCTCCTGAGCCTTGTGAGACCCGCCCACACTCTTCTGTGCACACATACTTGCAGTGGCAGGCACTCTGAAAGCATGTTTGAATTTAGCTCCCTCACTAGTTTTAGCCACAGAAGGGATGGAAGCCTCCCTCAGAGGTCTCTCTCCTGACCCCTACCCAACTACTTCACCTAGCCAAAGGCCCTCAGGGCAGACATCGTTCACAAGCAGCCCTCACTTCGAAGGCATGGAAGTGCTTTTGTTTCAGTCGTGGCAACTAGGTGACCGGCCCGGCCCACCCAACCTGGGCTTTCACCTTCCCAGCACGCCCAGGCTCTTCCCTGGCCCTGTGGGTGTGGCTCTGCTGCCAGGGCCTGACTGGGGTTTTTCCACTGTGCGCAGCGCCTCTCCCAGCAGTCTTGCTTGAGGTTGGCCACTCCGCAGTGAGGTCTTGCCGTGCAGGCCACACCCCAGCCATTAAAGCTGCAGGGTCATCGTGAGGACACCTCTGCCACACGCTGCCACTCGCTGGCCCAGCGGGCTGTAATCTCAAGAGGTTCCAGACTGCCCCCCTCCCCGGCTAAGCTGCTTCTCAGGCACCCAGATTCCTCCTCCCTCTTCCCCAAGGCTGGCTGCGTGTCAACCACAGATGGGCACAGGCTGTGCCAGCATCTCCATGGTAACCAGGGGCTGCGGCTTCCTGCCTGTCTCGCTGCAGAGCGTGCACCCTTGCAGGGCTCCCTTGCAGACCCCCAAAGCCGGCTGCTGCAGCGAGCCCGGCAGACCCTCCTGTCCTGCACTGCACCTCAGGACACCGCCCAGCTGGGTTGCCCTGGGCAACTTCAGACTCTGCGTTTCTTTCAGGAAGGTCTAAAACGGGAGAGGCTAAGAAGGCCCTTCTTCGGAGCCAGTCCTCTCCTCTCATGTGGAATTGATTTCTCAACCCAGGCTGTGGGGCTCCAGTGTGAAAACCATTTAAGGGCAATGGGTGAAAGTTGAAAATTCCACTTTTTAAAGTTTTATTTACTTATTTATTTATTTAGTGTTTTTGAGACAGGGTCTCCTTATGCAGTCCAGGCTGGCCTTGAGCTCACTTTGTAGCCCAGGCTGGTCTCAAACTCCTCATTCCCCGCAAGTGCTGGAATTACAGGTCTGCGCCGCTGTGCCCAGCCTTTTTTTTTTATTTTATTTTAAAGAGAAAAAAAACCCAAAATTTCTATTTTCTATTTCTATTTTTTAATTTTTTTTTAATTTTTTATTTCTTTGTCTTTTTGAGACAGGGTCTTGCTATGCAGCTCAGGCTGGCCT